CAGCAGAATATTTCTGATCTGCTTGGATAATGCGTGTTGTGTGTTTTATCCTTGGACCCATCTGTATGAAACTAGGAATTTGATGCATACTAAATAGGAAACAGCAAAGTTATGTGCATTTTGCCCTATCCCTTTGAGGCAGTTCTTTGAGTTTTGTTGGATTATATTTTGTTTTGAATGCTTAATGTTCTCAATTCCTTATAATGGACAATGAGCTACTCTGTGCCCCATTCCAAAATGATATTCTTTCTTCTTGGATCTTGGGCTTGGAGATTAGCTTCGTACTGCACAATATAATATTTATGGTTAATAAAAGTTGATCAAATATATGACTAAAATGTTGGATTTCGAACTGTATGCGTACATTTCTTCAGTTTTTCTTGTAATATGTGCATGCCAGTGAAGTGTGGTGTTTTTAAAGTTCGATATGATTGAGTGATCAATTGTACTTGAACACCCTTTGCCATTTATCCACAGGCAATTATATGTGGCAAAGTTGGTACAGCTCCTGTCCAGAAGATATTGAGAAATGGGAGGACAGTAACTATCTTTACAGTTGGAACAGGCGGCCTGTTTGACCAGAGAGTAGTAGTAGACCAGAGCTTACCCAAACCAGCCCAGTGGCATCGTATCGCAGTACATAATGATATGCTTGGTGCTTATGCAGTGCAACAACTTACCAAAAAGTAGGTCATGTTATTTTTTATGTATACAACATAATCATTTAAATTTACCCTCTTTCTCCCTCTGATTTGTGATGTCATTTCAGCTCTTCTGTATATGTTGAGGGTGACATTGAAACTAGGGTCTACAATGATAGCATCAATGGTGAAGTTAAAAGCATACCAGAAGTGTGTGTGCGTCGAGATGGTAAGTCAACTTTCTTGTATTTGTCAAAGCAGAAGTTTGATCATTACAAAAATGGTTTATGTTATTATAAGCTTAAAAGGGGTAGAAATGCTTCTGAGTCATTGGGGTATGTAAGAAGGTTGTACTTTGTAGTGAACCATAGAAATGCATGGCCTGCCTGTACTAAGATGCATATTCTCCCATAAAAAATAATTTGGACTAGTAGTATAAAGTACATAAAAAAGGAGAAAGTATAAAGTACATAAATCATCAATCTGCGAAATGATGGAAATTGCATTCCTCAACCTAATTTGAATGAAATACTGAGAAGTCATATTAATGTAAGTGTAACCAAGATGTGCATTATTACTAGATTCCTAGAGTTTCTGATAGGGACCCACCTATTGACTAATAAATAGACTAGTAGCTATTAGTTAAAATGCTGTAATAGAATAAAGTGAGTTGTTAGACACTAACTTAGACTGCTATAAATAGAAGGTAGGCTGGGAGAGTAAGGAGACTTTTGAGACTTTTGGACTGGGAAAGATTAGAGTTATTTCTCTTCTCTTTTTCTGGTGTACAAAACTTTTCCATCGCTCCAGGAAGGAAGAGGCTCTGATACCAATGATAGAGACCTCCAAGATTCCAGAACAATACACAAGAAGATTATCAAGAAAACAATTTGCAACTTTATTGATTAATAGAGGAAGAACAGAGATTATCGATCCGTAAACAGTAACAAAGGCCGAAGCCTCCCAAAAGAGAAGAGAAATAACTCTCTAATCTTTCCCAGTCCGAGTCCAAAAGTCCCAAAAGCCTCATTACTCTCCCCGCCTACCTTCTATTTATAGCAGTCTAACAACTCACTTTATTTTATTACAGCATTTTAACTAATACTCCCTCCGCCCCCCTAAGTTTTTCCCGTTTTACCTTTTTCGTCCGTCCCATTAAATTTGTCTCATACCATATTAGGTAATGTTTGAGTGGCTAGAAATCATTCTTACTTTATTCACACTTTATCAATTCAATACCAACCACACAATTCTACTTTTTTCTTAAAAACCACACCACACCCCTTTGTCCCAAACTTAGGGGGACGGAGGTAGTAGCTACTAGTCTATTTATTAGTCAATAGGTGGGTCCCTATCAGTTTCTTTCACTATTTGCTATTTTTACGGTAATTTTCTGCATTTCTTTTCACAGTACCAGTTCAAGTGGACTAACAGGCACACATGTGTATCCGGTTGAACTGTGGGCCTTATCCTCTCCCTCCTCCCCTTGTTGTATGCCCGATTTGTGTGACAAAACTTGACCAAAGTTATTTACAATGAATCTCTTATTGCAATTAATTTCAAGTTAGCAAATAAAATCTATACATTCAAAAGTTGCATAATATGATCTATTGAAATTCAAAATGTACAGTATGCATGGCCATTTTTTAGGGAGTTCAATAGGTTATCCGGAACAGGGCCCCAAATTTATGGGGCCCCAAGTTTTTAAAATTTTATTTATTTTATATAGTAATATTATATATTAATACTAATCACAAAAATATACTCGTAGTTACCTAGTAAGGAAGAAAAATATAGTTACCTAGTAAGGAAGAAAAATATAGATCCATCATTTTTTCGTTTGTCTTTTTACTCTTTTAGTTCTCTTTTAATTAGTATTCAATTAATTTGAGTATAAGTATTTAGATTGGGTTTTTTTAAAACATTTTATAATAATGCGGGGCCCCGTTTTTACATTTTGAACCGGGGCCTCCAAATTCATTAGACGGCCCTGACAGTATGGAATCCGCCCATCAAACTTTTCTTGACACAACCTACCTCCTCAACTGCTCTAAATTATTACATGTAGTCCATCACACTTTTCTTGACAAATCCTGGAACCACATCTCCTCTTTACGTGATGCTCACCTCAGCTTTATGTTGAATTGCACCATCTTTGAGCCCTACCCCATGTCCCCATGCATACACTTCACCCCCCCCCCCCCTGCAACCAAGCACACACCATCCTTCAACCCAACAAGGCCTATTAATGTTGGCATTCATCTTGACACAAGTATTAACTATATACTGATAAAGAATTAGCAACCTTTAACACCATGGCTATGAAGAAATTGATGTGTAACACCTGTTACTAATGTGCTGCCTCTTAAATACTCTGTATCTCATAGTGCTGTTACACTTGTTCTTTTGCAGGAAGGGTTCGTCTTATAAAAGCAGGAGAAAGTGTCAGCAATATTTCTTTTGATGAACTACGTGAGTCTTCATTTGTTCAGTTACATGATGAATATTTCTGCCAGATTAATACTTAATATTGTGATACTAAGGGTATGTTTGGGGTGTTATTTTTCATTTTTTAAGTCAAGAAGATTATATAGAATGTATGAGAATAATTAAATAAGAACATTGTGCTTCCACCAATTTATCACTTCATATAGCTTGTATTGAAAAGTTATCAAGTTGAACAATAACAAGGGCAGCCCGATGCACATTGGCGTCCCTGGCAAGGCCATGGGTCCACAGAAGGGTTCCACCACATGGGTGTATGAGAAGTAAGTCTTCCCTTGTCATTTTGACAAGAAGGTCGCTTCCGAAACTTGAACTCTAACCTCTTTTGACACAACCGGTCGCTCCTTAAACTTGAGCCCCTGACTTCTCTATCGCACAATAACACACCGTAACCGGTGCGCCAAAGGCCCCTTTTTATTAAGTTAAGCAATATTTTGAAAAAAAAAGTCCCTCCAAACCTCTCCAAAATCTAACTCCAAGAATAGCATAAACCCTTAAACTGAAACTTCATGAAGTTTCGCCTTGGGGTGCACTGCTTAACATTATTTGTAGCTTATTCTTCCATGTGTTCTTGGCAGGTTTAGGATTGCTTTAGTGGAGTGCATTCAGGATGTCTAAGGTTTTGAGAATGAGCTTCCTCAATGTTGAAAATTATGATTTTGGAATTGTGTTGTTTTTCATTTGACGAGAATCTATATCGTAAATATGGATATACCCAGCGCATGGTACATCCAAATTCCAAATCCAAATACCCAGCGCATCGTACATGCAGTTTGCTCATTGGTTGTATGATGCTCATGGTAATATTTTGAAGTTTTATTGTTACTTGTTTTAGTTGACTACTTTCTCTTTTTGACAATTACAATTGACATAAATGTTCTTAATTTTTCACTTTTCTTTTTCACTATCTTTTAAACAACTTGCTTGCTTTTATAGGTTTGTTCTTAACCTATTTGAAAAGCGTAATGGAGCAAGTAAAAATATAGGGATAGAGTAGTTTTTCTTTATTTAAGACTCGTAAATGAAGATAAATGAAACAGAAATCAATTCCCCACCCTTCCAATCACCATTAATTTGTTTTTTCTTCTTCTCTCTGTTATTAACTTATTCCTCCTATTTAAGGGCCTATTTAAGGGGTGATTTGCACTTTTTAAGTTAGTTCGATGGTCTATTTGACCCTTTAGCCTATTTTATTTTATATATCATCTCAACTCTCAAGTTTTCATTATATAGTTCGTTCTCCATTATTCTACAAAAGCCCACTAATGGTTCTAATTTCTCCTTTTATATAAACTCCAACAATTAACAAGCTAGTAAATATATTTTTAACTTTTGGATTAAGGCTGGGATGTTGTTATAAATACGTTTTGAAAAAGTTGGTTCTACCGTATGGTTATTTTAGAACTTCTACGACCAAGTTATTTGCTTTTCTGGTCGTGACTTTCATTGTTACTGCAGCCTCCAAGTATGGCAGTGGATATGCTGAAACTCCAACTATTGCCTTTGACCAGAAATCCAGAATGGTTTTTTGAAATTCTTGTCATCTAGGATTTGACCACGGAGTACGAAGTTTTGACCACATATCGCAAGATTCATTATCGTCTTATCGACCTTCCCATGTCCAAGTTCGTGGACTCATGGCCAAACGCCCAAACCCTAGTCTTTTATGGAATATTAAATATGATTGTTTAGATTTCAGAATGTTAACAAATAACAAATGCCCGGGTCCAGTCACTATAATAAACATTCTGAATCGGAAAGTTGCCAACAATTCTCAAACTGTTAGCAACCACAATAGTTCAACTGTTTCGAGAAACAGCCAATGCAATTACACTTCGTATAATAAATGGAGAACCCGTTAAAAACATTAAAAATCGAGGGAGAAAAAAATACTAGACAAAAGTTTAAAATAGTTTCACACCTTTTCATTACTTACATATTGGAAGTGTTATCAATCATGATATATCCGCTTCTGCTCGTAGTCAGTTCACACAATTAATTAAATAAAAAAAAGGAAAATAACTTTGACAGCTCACCAAACATCTAAGAACTCGTTACATTTCTTACACGATCTATCTATAACAGGTATCTACCACGGATGAGAACCAAGCTTGATTAAACGCCAGGCAAAAAAATAAAATATATATCAGTGCATCTATGTTAAGGTATTATGCCGTAACTTCAGGTCTGCTCAGCCTTTTCCCCTCCATTGCATCTTTCTTCCTGCGACAATTTGCACATAAGAATGGGCCTTCCCAAGGTTTTGGTGCAGGAGAGAACAAGGTACTCGAATTCACAGATAAGCCCTCGTTTGGTGGCTGATCTGCTTGGCAAACAGCACATCTGAAGAGACCGGAGTTTGAGTCCAGAGAAACATCCTTCCCCAGCCTGCAAAAGAAAATGAATTATAAATAATTACAATGTAGAACACCATTGTATGAAGATTGAAGAGAACAAGAAGCCCACTAAAACTGGAAAGTTACTTTTCTAGTCCAGAAATAGCTATTAAGGATTTTTTCTATTGGACTATTTTTAGTCCCAGACCAAATCAAACCAGACCAGACTTAGACAAGACTTAGACAATTATAAAATACACAAAGACCAGACATTTACCAAACCAGACTTGAACAGACCAGACATTTATCAAACCAGACTTGAACAGACCAAACCAGCAAATTTCAGTCCAAAAGAAAACATCCTAAGACTCATCACTCAATGATGGGAAATATTGAATAACTTTTTAACAGTGGCAGTAGAACTCAGTTCACCTTGTTGTTCAGATCAGTGCTCATCTTAATACTCTCATCATGCTCCCTCATTACAACTTGTGTTACTATATTCAACTGGATTTATGAAGACCTCGCTTTTAGGAAGCATTTGCAATGTTTTTTTTTTTTCAAAAAAGAAAGCAAGATCAGCAACAACTGCAACATAATTAGTTGCACAAACAAAAGCTGAGTTACTATCTCCTAGACACCTTCTGATCCGTGCTAGGATCTCTAGTTCAACAACCTTGAGTAAAAGAAACTCAAGGTGCAAAGCCTATATATCTCCTGAGGTGCAAGACGCAAAAAAAGGTGCTAGCCCGACACACGCTAGATGCACAATTCTGATTTTTTTTGTGTATGCTATACACAACTCTTGATTTATCAGAGCATGATAATCAATACAAAATTAATCTATATGGACCAATAATGACATAAAAATAACATTATTTAATGTTTGGTGAATGACAATGCATATTCCATACTATGGATGCCAAAAAACTAAAGCAAGAAAAAAAAAAGTGATAAGCTTGCTTCTATAATCTCTGCTAGAAAATGGAGCAGGTGAAAAACAAAGAATATAAAGAGGATAGGAAAGGGGAAATAAAAATAAAAAGGTATCTTTAATTTTGTTTGAGAATTCTTTTTTTATGATATCATAATGTCTACTGCTTCCTCTTGCTCTTTCGCATAATAGTAGGAACAAAAAGTACACATTGAAACAAGAAAAAGAAAAAAAGGAACAAGGAACAAAGATTGCTCACTTTACAATTTACTACTCCCTCCGTCCCAAAATGATAGTCCTGTATTTCCTTTTTGGGATGTCCCAAAATGATAGTCCTGTTTCCCTTTTTGGAAAGAAAGATGTGGTCCACATCATTTCACCTTTTTCTACTCAAATCTCAACCACAACTTTTACCTTTGCAACCACTTGATTAAAACTTGTGCCCAAAAGAAGTGAGACTATCAAATTGGGACGGAGGGAGTAATAAATGAAATCAAATAAAAAAAATAGAACAAAAAAGCATATTTAATGCCAAGGGATTGGTATATTTCATGCTCTCCACTGGTGAGAGCAAAGTACACAAACCATAGGAACTATAGAGTTGGTTCCAGACATCAGTGCACACTCCCACTTTATTAAGACTGGAGCCTGTAGAATTCTTACAGCTGTAATATTGGTCCCTGTTTCTCACAACCTTTGAACATTTAAAATTAAGTTGGCCATTTTTTATCACACTTGAAACAATATCCTAAAAGGAATTACTAATACTAGCTAAGTTCGTACACCGGAGAGACAAAGACCGTTGCCAAAGCTAGGCATGACAAATCCTTCAATAAGGGATCATAGCAACACGTAGTCAGTGTCCCTACTCAACAATTTAACGAATTCCATGCAGATTTTACAGAACCAGGCATTAGCAGTGATTAACTTTTGGTGGAAGGTGAAGAACCATAAAAGACTACAATTATAGCTGAGGATTAAGATGATCAAATGAATGACCCAGACAGAGTTTAACTTCCTAAAGTTCTGATACAAAAGGTACGTTGGTGCAAAGATGGACACTCCTTATTTAGAGAGACCGAAACCTATACTGACGAATCCGTTTAATGAAAGCAGGGGAATCTATGAATGGTTTACTAATATTGGTCCTTATTTCTAATATACTGAGGTTTACTAATTTGAAACCCTCAACCTCATGAATGGTTTACCTACTAGATCATGTATATTGAACATATCAATACATAGCATATCAAGTACCTCTCTGCAAGCACTGCAGAACCCTCCTCAAACAATTCCTCCACAACTCCAACAGTAGAGAGTTTTTTGGATCTGGAATCATGTGGTTTTCTCCGAAATATGAGAGAACTCATCAGACTTTGCTTCTTCACAGGTATCGGCGGTAGGACAGGACAGTCATTTGGAATAATATCAACAACCAAGCAAGTTGTATCATCCTTCAAGCCCCGAGTCCTTAGAGCCTCCTGAGAACAAACATTGAAGAATTAGTTAATCCCTGAGAGAATCAAGTATTCAAGGTAGACTAGGTAGTGTATCAAAATCTGCACCTTAACGACCAGTCTTGCAGCAAGTTCTGCAGGTAAACCTCGGCAAGACTGTGCAGCCATATCAGATGATAAAGCATCCCATATACCATCTGAGGCAATTATAAGCCGTCCGCCAGCACTGGAGAGCTAATGATAAATGAAGAAACATATGAGAATTTAGAACATAATGCTTGCTTATTGAATCAAATATTTAGAGAAGCAAAATGCATGCAAGAAATATAAACCTTCACTTGCTTCACATGAGGTATAGGGACAATAAACTCTCCTACATCTGTATCACCAATTGACCTTGAAAGGCACAAACCACCGGGCCAGCAACGGAGTGGGCCAACCTACAGAGCACAAACCATGTGAAGTTCATCATTGCAAAATGCAAACACACTATGTAAACGAAACAAATCTCACTCATATTACCTCATTACCACCAAAGACATTGAGCCTTCCCACTTCACCACCACTTGCAGTCACACGTTCCCGTTCTTCCACATTTTCTTCCAATCTATGGTCAACTGTTAACAGAGAAACAACCCCTCCCTGGGTGTCCAGTATGCATCGGGAATCTCCAACAGATGCAACTGTAACAGTCCACTCGTCAATCACAACAAAAGTAACAGTTGTGCCTGATGTTTCACCTGTTATTTTAAAACGGAAACATGTGGGAAAACTGAAAATGGTATGTCGCAAATGGAATGGAGGACAGACCCAGTAAAAGATCATTTCTGCAAAGAAAATACTACACTTACCTTTCTGCTGAAACTCTATATCAGTTTTCACAAAACCAGCAACTAGTGCTCGAGGGAGCGCTTGAAGCCACTGTTCCCTACTAAGACCTTGGGGAATAGCACTCAAAACATTGTTAAGGAGATTCTCTTTTGCAAATATAGCAGCTGATATACCATTGTGTCCATCAAAGATCTACAAGGAGAACCGAAATTCAGTAAACTCGGAAACAAGCATCCATGTGGCCATTCTAACATATTAATTAATGACAATTTAATCGAATAAAACTAACTCAGTTACCCCAAAAACTGAAAACGGGGTCAATGAACTGCCTGAAACCCTCTGGCAGTCTGGCTTGATAAGAAAATAGTCTTCCCCTTTCTTAGCCAGAGCGGCCTGTCCATACTTCACTGTGGGCTGCTCCATTTTACTCTCATTCCGGAGCTCACGGCCAATCAGAGTCCCCAGCGGCACTGCAACAGGCGTGGGCTTTTGCTTTGTCATAGTAACCTCTGCCCCACTCATTTCACCCCTCTATCTATCAACATTATCTAAAGCTTCACTTCAATCACAGACTCCGACAATCCAGACACAGGAACTGTAAAACATTAAGATCCATCACTCTTTCAGTGTATTGCAATCACTGATCTACGAACAATTGGAAAGACTCCACGCACACTATAAACTAGCATCAACTATTATCACAATGTACACGAGAATTCCCACAAATATGCGCTAGAACTCCATTCCCACCAAAGTCAAAACTTACAAGTAATAGATAGAGTAGAAGAGAGAACCTTACAATGAAGACAAGGAAATGAATCAAGAGGAGCTAAGCGTTGTGCATATGAAATGCATATACAGATATACAGATATGGGAGTGTATGAATCGGAGAGCCAGGAATTTGGTTGAAGTGTGAGCTGGAATCGATGGCAATGTTGATAATCAAACCCTAGAGAGAGAAAAGTTTGGTGGGAGATGATGAGCTACATCTATTGTTTGATTGGACGAGAGAAAAATAGGCAAACACAAAAGATCTAATACTCTCTTTTTGTGGATGGAAGAACCCGTAAATAACGGAATGGAAGTAAATGATTTGCCATTTTTGGAAGAGCATTGAAACTCAAGCCAGAGTTCTATTTTGTTAGCGAAATTATATATGTCTAATTTTGATTTGACACAATTAGTAATTGTAGAAGTAAAAATACATAAGTGAAATGTGAGCCAAATTATCAAATTGGTAAAAAAGAAACACTTGAGACATATTGGTAAAAAAAGGAAGTCATAGTGATAAATTGGTCAATTTTTTCTGAATGATAAACTTTTGATTCTGAACTTTGGAATTCCCGACTTTTCATATACTAAGTATTGTGAAATTGACATTTTCAGTACTTTTACCTTGATTTTGTCATCAAAAGTGGAAGTCTAAAAATGTCAACGACCGTGTTTGATAATAACATTTGTCTGGTAGCTAATAACCGGTTGAATCAACATATTGATAATAGTGGATTCTGTTAGCTTTTATAACCATCCGCTTTAATTAGTGTTTGAAATAAAATGTTAGTAACATAATAGTTGACTATTAAATGTTAAGACGTAAAATGACAATTAAAGATATGGATTTAAAAGTATATATTTTATCTTAACTTTATTTATTTTATTTTTAATAAGTCTTTGAAAAGATTTTAAAAATTACATTTACATTTATTTTAAATAACCATGGAGTAATTTTTTTTAAAAAAACTAATAACTAGTCATATGGAGTAGAATTCTGGAGTAGATTTGTTAAATGGAGTAGACTTTAAACAAACTAATAAATAGTCATGTTAAAATTATTATTACTAAGAACATATGAATTTATGTGTGGCATTAATGTACATATCTTAAAAACGATATTGTTAGTAATTACTTAAAATAAACGTAAACATAACTTTTAAAACTTTTTCCAAAACTTATTAAAAATAAAAGGAAATAAAATTAGTTTAAATATATAAACTTTTAAATTCATTTTTAATGGTCATTTTACGTCAGAAAAACTAATTTCAAATTTTAAGTTACTAATTAACATTTTATTTCAAACCACTAATATTAATCGGTTGATTCAACCGGTTATGAGCTAGCAAACAACTAATATTATCACACGGTCATTGACATTTTTAGACCTCCACTTTTGATGACAGAATCAAAGTAAAAGGACTGCAAATGTTAACTACACAATACTTAGAATATGAAATGTCGGGAATTCTAAAATCGATGATCAAAAGTTTATCACTCACAAAAAATTAACCAATTTGTCACTATGCCTTCTTTTTTACCAATATGTCTCAAGTGGTTTTTTTTACCAATCTGTCCAATGACCCTTTTTTTTTACCAATTTGGTAATTTGGCCGTGAAATGTGACATTTATTCTATGACGACACAAAAATTAAAGTAAAAATATAAAATATTTTTACTAAAGGGAATGGTAATTTGATCAAAAACATTTTTATCTTTCGCTGTTAGTGATATATTCTTTATCTCTAAATTATCTACTAGGTATGAATGCCCACCAATGTAACTATTGTGAAAAATCCCGAATTGAATTTTCATTAATTTAATTTCTTAAGCGGGTTTTCGATGTTTGTTGCATTTGAATAAAGTATCGATTATGTATAATTTATTTTCAAAATGGTGAAAATCACGGGACATTTCAGACTAAATCCAAATCTAGCTACTATCAGTTTTATTAACATTCCTCACCATATTTATGTTATACAAGCACAAAGTTTTGGAAGATATTAATTGAGCTTTAGACTATTCTAAGTTGGGGAAGAAGGAGAAGCTAGAAGAGGGGAAGGGGGAGAAGAGAGGTCTCCTTAATATGGAGATAAACCTCCTATATATATGAAAAGGGAGAGGGGTACAATTTTATCCTAATGGCCGGAATAGGCCTAATTTGGGTTACAAATCTACAATTGAGCAGGTGTATTGGGCATCGATAAATGCTAATAGGCGGCATATAATATCTCAACACATATCCCTCATTTTCTTGAGTTGTAAACATGTGAATTTGCTCGAGAAATTATACCCTTGCTCATGTTCTTCTCAAATCTTTCTTGAATTTGTGTCTCTGTGTTGCTCTATTTCGTCAGTGGATGTTCGCCCCTCTAAATAGAACAAGCCGGTGAGAGGGTCCACCTCCTGACTAGAGCAGGCGAGGGAGGCTCTCTTTCAGCCATTGTCCCTCTTGGCTGTATGAGACAAGGGAGAAGGGTTCCAATTCGAATCCTAATAGCAAATTTTTTAAGGAGCTTCATATGACTCCCTTATAGAGTCATATGAGGTATTGTGGCACCACCATCACCGTCCATTTATTTAGTAAAGGGCCCCACTAAATAAATGGATGATGATGGTGGTGCCACAATAACTCATATATATGACTCCATAAGATTCCATATATAAATTTACTCATCGCAATAGATCTTATATAACCATCTTTGCCTAGCTTGCAAGGGGCTTTTAGAGATTACATGTATAGGATGGTGTATGAATGAAATGGATGGATGTATGAATGAGTGTATGAGTGCAATGTATGATATATGATGTGTATCCCATACATCGCACACTCTGTTTGGCGCAAAGGCCCTAGTTGTTCATGACATTCTTCCTTTGTCCTTTGGTATGCTGCTACCTTCTTTCTAGTTGGCTTTAAGTATTTCAATCATTCCCAGGAGGGCGGTGTGATGCTTTGTTACAAGACATTTGACACACGCACGACTTAATCCTATGTGTATAAACTATAAACACAAATGATAGACTTCTTCATCTCGCTCAGGTCGCTGGCTAACCTAGGGATGCAAGGTGTTGAGTTCGACCAGAGCCCCTGGGCAATTAGCTTAGTTCGAGACGTTTGGCCCCTAGATACTGGGTATGGCCTTTGGAGGCGAGGCTCAGCCCAGGACGCTCGAGTCGCTCGACCTCTAGATGTTGGGCTTGTGCTGGGAAGCTCGACGTGTGGCTTTTTGGGTGCTAGACGTTTGATCTATGGACGTTCGACAGTTAGTCAGTCGAACTAAATTGAAGTGTGCGTTTGTGTGTGTCCAAAAGAGGCATGTAAGAAGCTTAAGCCATACAAAAGGAGTAATAATAAATAACCCAGAAAGGACAAGGTTCAAACTTTGGAAAGATATGGTAAAGGATTTGAGGTAAAATCAGGATTTTTTATATATTATAAAATAAGAGTTTTTGTCACTTTTCGTCCTCCAACTTTCGTGTCAGTGACACTTTCGGTACTCGACTTTGATTCTTCCCACTTTTAATCATTCGGTTGTGGGAGAGACCTTTTTAGTCATTGACTTTGAAATTCCCCACATTTAGACTTTTGAGTATTGCCAAATTGATACTTTTAGTCATTCCACTTTAATTTTGTCACACTAAATGGAGGACTAAAAGTGATACTTTTATGAAAATCAAAGGACTAAATATGTACAATTTCAAAAACGGGTACCAAAAGTGTCTATCACACGATAGTCGAAGGATTAAAGGTGAAAAATTTCTAAATGGGATGCAAAGTCAAAGAAATTTTAAGTGAGAGGGGTGCAAAATCAAAGTTTTTTTCAAAATGGGGTGCAAAATCCAATATCACTCAAAAAATGGAATGAAAAGTCAAATTCCCCCATAAAAATATGTCTGACCTATAAATGTAGCCATGTAGGGTTACATTTAGAAACCAACGTTAGTTACTCACAAAACCCTTATGATATACGGAGTACTAGTAAATCTTACGTTATACACCATAGTTACACACAATGATGAAAATATAAATGAAAGATCACAATTGATTCACGACATGCATCAACGGGAGATTGATTTTTCAACCATAAACTAATAATTTTTCGGGTGAAATGTTGTGAGGTGCTTTCAGGTGGAGTTTTTTTATTAACTTTATTGATCGTGTTCTCTTTGAATTGTAGATTATGTCCACAAAATTTATGTCTAAAACATCAATGTAGAAGTCAACTAAATAAATTATTGAAAAATACTGCATTTTTATGCATATTTTAGAGCAGTGTTTTTCAATAACTGACTTTCTGGTTGGCGTACTTCTTCTCATTGGGGTTCTTCATGTTCATTATTTCACCCTTGTTTTTATCCAATCTCCATGGTTTCTTGTTTTTAACAAAAAGAGACAAATGTGTGAAGTTTTCATTCATTTAAAGCATTATAACGCTTCATATTTAGTTGTATAAAATCGTTAATAATGCTCTTATCACTTGACATATTTGAAATTTTTCCTTACTTCTACTTATAATTTTTATCTAGACTTTTTATCTAAGTTGCTATAGCACCGATCTTCTATGTGTTTTGCACCTGATGAATGATTATTTGAGCTTGAATTTCTTCATCCTCCCATGTGTCTTTACAATATGATTTCCACAAAAACAAACAATAATCAGATTTCCGTTCAGGGGCGGAGCTAGGGGAGGGCCAAACTAGGTCCTCACTCCAAATTAAAAAAATGCCTTGATTTTTAAGGTGAAAAATTTAATGTAATTTTTCCCAACAATATTCTTTGTATCGGCCCGCTATGGCCCAGTGCCATGGCTCTGCCCCTAATTCCATTTGTCCCAAAATTATGATTCAAGTTCTTTTTAAAAATGATCACGTGGTTTTCCTTTTCTGCGACATAGCCATATCCTCTTTATGTTTTCAAATTACCACTCCGCAAAATGATTCAAATTATTTGTATTTCTTCTTAATGTAAACTTCTACAACATATTTGTGTCTTAAAATATGTTTGTGTGTGTTGAGGCTAACCGGAGATGGATACCTTGGGCCTATGAACTCAACAAGTTCTTTGAAGTTTTGGTGAAATGATTAAGTTTAAGGAGAGACTATGGAAGAGATGATTTAATAAAATTATACCAACCTTGCCTTAAGTATTGACCCCTTGAGGCTGACCCCAATTGCGCCGAAGATCCATCTGTGTTCATTCCCACCCTCGGCTAGAGCCCCTTCACGTGATTTTCTCAAGCTCTAAAGCCGAGCAGAGACAATGGTTGGCCTAGTTCACTTGCATGATGACACGGGTTCACCCCATTTAGAGGATCAGTATCCGAGCTAAGGTTAGGTCTATATCCTTGAGTAATACCGGACCAATTCCCTAACACACGCAATATAAATATACAGACATACATATACATACATTATATAAATATGTAGGCAGACACATTAGAATAACCTATATGTGTGTGTGTGCATGAGCATCTTTGTTAAGACTCGGGGTTCCATCCTAAAAGGTTAACCTGATAGGAGTAGCCCATGTGTTAATATAGTATTTTGTTCATCCAAAATTTTCCGGTGTGGGACATTTAACACCCTCCTTACGACCAGACACTTCGTCTGGATCGTACCATCATTCATTTTTTTTCATCAGTCCGTTTTTGTCATCCGGCCGTAATTGTCATTTTTTTATAATGTGTCATCATTTTTCATAAGAGACCCACACCATGGATCGATTTGGCTCTCATACAGTCATACCATGTTAAGATCTGGGGTTCCATCCTAACAGGTCAACTTGATAGGAGGAGTAGCCCATGTGTTAATATAGTAATTTGTTCATCCAAATTTTTTCCGGTGTGGGACATTTAACAATCTTTCTCAATCCAAATATTCTACTGTGCAAATCATACTTCACCATACACATATATTCAATATTGGCATAGTAAACTACACCAATGTTACAAATTGCATATTGCATACATCATACAACATACATCTTATAAATTAATCATGAGTGATCATTTCCCCCAGAATGGTTGCCTTTGTTTTAGGCCTCCATTAATGAGTAGTATCTACACCTAATAGACAACTGTAGCTATAAAATATCTTGCATTCCTTTTTATCTAAAATGTCTAAAAAAATAAAAAGTATAAGAGTATTAAAAAGGCACCAAATTAATTCACATCTACCATCTATGTCACTTTTCAATTTCATGACGTGCATCTAAGCGATTGTTTTGCTCACTTGCCACTTGATGCTCTTCTTTTTGCATTTGTATTTGGGGTCTGTATTCTAGTTTTATATGTGGATGAATGCAACAACATCCCAGTAGAGAGTCTCCTCGATGGTGGTGGTATTGAACTCCTAGTGATAATGAAGGTTGAGAAGACAAGTGTTAGAAAACCTCATTTTGCTAATGAAGTAATGTAATCATAAATGTGTTTGTGCAAGAGTTTTAACAACAATATCATACATGACATTTACAAATTGTTTACCAAATACAATCAGACCATTCTAAATTCACATTTGTACATATATGAATAAACTGTAAGAGAAAAAATGAGAGAAAAATACGGAAAAGTACTTGTGGTTAGAAGCATTTTCAGATAGGAGTATGCGTTTCATTTTTTCCCAAAGCTTTCCTCATGTTTTAGGTCTGTTACCACTCGTGAGGTCTGAAACTAAGCTAAGGTAGAAACATCTGAGGTGGCAATAAGTTCACATGAGGATGACGATGAACAATAACTCAGATTTTCAAAAATGCCTAGAAAATTAAAAGAAAAATATGGTTGGCGCGCCTGATCAAGACAACATCCAACCCTTCTTTTTTTCTTTCCAGACACCTCTGTTGTGAGAAAGTCCACCGGGAAGATCTGAGATACGCATAAAATGAAAAACACCCCAACCAAGGGTTGGTTTCAAAAGTGGATCAAATGGTGTTTTCAACAAGTCAAAATGGATATGTTGATTTTTGCAATTTTTTCTTCCAAAAAGAGCTGAAAATCCATATATTGCATATCCAATCGTGGATATTGCAAGCATGAAGAAATCCACCCTAGAATCATAAAGGAAAAGTAATTTGATCTTGTGGAATGTTTGTGAAAAGGTCAATGTCCATCGTCTTCTTCATCGAAGTTCACTGCCAGGAGAGATGCATCACACTATTCTATGCCACACAATATTGAAGGAGCTGAATTGGATGTCATAGTGAGTTTTTTTAGCCAAGTAAGGGGCCATTGTTTTTTTTAAATTGTCACCTCAACGGCTCATAATGGAGTTTGCCTTCGGACCCCACATGTGATAGCAGACTTAAAACACTAAAAACTAGTTCGAAAAGAAATGAAACATAGGGGCCATAATTGAAAACGCTCCCAACCACAAATGTCTTTTATGTACTTTTCCCAAAAAATTATATGAAAAATATTGGACCATGATTTGTTCCATGAAATAGGACTCATGTTCTCAAAACAAGAGAACCTGACCAAGCGGGGTGGTGGGGTGGCGGGGATTTCTGGTTACTACTTCCGGCTTTGTGCTCGTGGTTTTGCCTTCCTACGTCGGCCATCTGAAAATATGGTCGTCGTCGGAGCCAGGTGGGGTGGTCGGGAGGGGGCAGGGGTTTGGGACACATGGACAATGATGGGACGCCAGTTGTCTGTCTATTTGAATTTTCAAACTTGACGCTCAAGGGGTTGCGGTGCAGGGCCATAGCGATGATGGGGTGAAAACCCTAGTTGCTGCTGGACGACCTGAGATTGGAGGGGACATGCGGATGATGGTCTTCGGATCTTTGGTGCTTTGGTGGTCCTTGGGCCTTGACTGGTTTGTGGCCTGGGCTGTGAGATTTTGATGATGCAGTGGACTGTTACTCCTTTGTGCTGGGAGTGATGAAGGATTTCTGTCGCGGGCTTAATTGGTTCTCTTCATGGGCCTGAATGAATGGCATAGGGGATTTGATTTTATTTGAGCTGGGGATTGTCCCGTGCCATATTTTGGACTGTTTTGGATACTAAGACGAGGCATGTCCCGTGCTAGTTTCGATGTTTTGCTTTTCTAAAATCTCTCTCCTGCCCCCTACTTTCGGGGGGGGGGGGGGGGATACTATTAGGTTAGCTTGCTAGCCTAGATAATTTTTTTGACACATTGTGATGCATTGTATTGCTATTTTCTGTATAGATATATTTACATTTTATCCAAAAAAAAAAGAACTTGACGAAATATATCCAAAATGTTCAAAAGAAAAACATGAGAATTTTCATATATATGAATAAAATATAACACATTTATACAAATATGATCATTATTTGTTCAAAAAAATGACTCATTCAATCGAAGAGAAAATTTTTTAATTGCTTTTATTATTTCCCTCCGTCCCAAAATATAAGATACTTTCGGATAAAAAGGAGAGAGTAAAAAGTGAAATCTTAAATGATAAATAAAATGATAAAAGGAGAGTAAAAAGCTAGTAAAGTTGAAATTGAGATATCGTTCATATTCATTGGAAAGATGCAAAAAGAAAAGTATATCTAACAAATTAGGGAAAATAGAGAATAAAACAAGGATGGTTCTAATTGGTCAAGTGTTTTACTCCTATCTTAAAGGGGAAAAATTGAAAACTATTAGAAAATTTCCAATCCTAGAGAATGCCATGAAATGAAAAAATAATGAATGAAATGGAAACAATAATCCAAGTATGTTACCTAGTTTCTGGACTCTTTATTCTCTTTGGACTAGGTCTTCTCAACTTGGATGCCATCCCATTTTTAATACCACCAGAGACATTTGAAGTACTCATTTGGAAAACAAAGTCATGTTCCGAAGAACAAACACTAATGTTAGCATCAAAGTCAGGATCATCCACTGCAACAAAGTTTTGTTGCGCAGGGCGCACCTTCACACAATCATCAGGTGAAAATTTCTCAAATAACATCTCAGTTGAATGTTGTTTATAACATTCATCCAACCTTCCTAGTGAATAACCCCTATTGATACTATTTTTCTTATTAACGATAACCTTGTCAACCCATTCACCAGTCATTGCGTCTTTCTCGTATTCATTTGATCCAGGGCTTGTACTAGGTTGCCAAGGAGGCGAGTTCATATGAAGGTCATCAAGATCTAAGATTTGCCTTCCTCCAATTGCTTCAGAACTTTTCCTCACCTACAAATAGAAATTCACAATTCTCTTCAATCATTGTAATTTCAAAATACCGATAAGCAAAGTTGGTTTTATTTGGCTAAAGAGAACATAGATGTGTTTAAGAAGTCAAAAACATGTAGACACACAATAAAGAGACATTAGAACTTAAGATGCGTGACAGTAAATTAGGTAAGGGAAATGAATGATAAGTCAGATGAAGAACAACAAGGACACAAAAGTTACCTTCTTAGAGAGGTTTTGGTTTGGCCCCCTCTCTTTTTGTAACCTCTTTATTTTTAATAAAACTTGGAAAATGTTCCCTAATGTTTGCCCCACCGATGGGTGGTTTGTCTACTGGGTAAAAAAAAGGACACAAAATTTACCTCTATGTTGTCATCAACATCCTCTATAAGCTGCCCTTGATTAGAGATTTGCATGTCTCGAAAACTTTGCAAACTATAGTTTGAAGGTGATGACCCAGAAGACGTCATTTTCCTGTCTGGGCTACTTGACCTAGAGCTTATCCCCTCCTTCTTTGCCAATGCTGCCTTTAAATTTGCAATCTATGCAAAAACAAGCAAGTGGTGTGCCTTTATTTCAATGAAGAAAAGCTTGCATGTTTATACTTATGCTCGACTCATAAGTTCATTTGTTTATTGTTCTCTCTCCTTTTCACTCTAAGGAAATAAATGAGAAATTAAAGACAGTTCTTATAAAAGTTAAGAGAAACGACTCATAAAAAGAGGATATGGCGTGTAATTTAAAACCTTAGAAATTATATTATGACAATGACACATTATTATAACAGTTAAATTAGCTTAGTACCTGTTCTTTGAGTTCTTTTACATCGGGAGAATCTTTGTTTGCACGTGCTGCACCAAGCTCAACAGCAGAAACACGTTCAGCAAATTTAAGAGTACTAAGTGTCTCTCCAATAGCATCTGCCTCAGGACTAATGTGAACAAACATTAATGTCTTGGCTTGCCCTCCTAATAATAATATAAAGTCCAAGTCTCAACATAAAAAGTGCATAAAATGGAAATGAAACCTTAAATGTTTCATAAAGCGTAAGTTCAAAACCTAGAAAGCACTAAGGAAAGGAAAGAATGTACTAGGAAAAGTTATTCTCTTGAGTTTAGATTGACCTTAAAATACAATGAAAAACAGAATATTTTGATGTTTTAAACTCGTTTATATATATGCTTAGTTTGCATAGTATTTATATGGCACACAATGATCAACTAATTGGATATGAACAAATAGTAAAAATAAATTCATTGAGTTTGAACAATATGCTTTCCTCAACGATTTCTCTTTCAAATTTTATCCTTTATTATATTCCCTTTTCTCTTTTCCTCAACATTGTCCATGTATATAATGGATCCTGAATCATCAATCATGACCTAGTCATACCGAGAGAATCTTGCAGGAGCTGAGTAAGCTTGCTATTCCTATAGGGGACATGTGAACTCTTATGGCCAAGGGCATATATGACATCTCCTAAAGCAGAGAGAGACTTGTTTATATGTTGTGCTTCCTTCAACCTTTCACCGGTTGCTTCAGTTTTATCTGCTCTTTCACTTCCTGCCAGGTCAACCATATGCAAACAACCGCGAAGTATTGTTCCAGATGTTAGTCCTCTCCCCTGAACATGAACTGTGAGGCAACTGGAGAATGTAACCATCCCAAATGAATTGAGTAATTGCTTATTGAGTATTCTAGAATAACTATATCATCAGTGAATCCGTCAAACCTTGTAAATGATGGAAAAGAAGAAAATATAATTACCTGTGGGAACGACTACTACGAGTGTTCATGGCAGTTGCACCGACTGCACGGTTCTTCTGCCCTAGGTTCATCAACTTGAGGACCTCTGATGTCGATGATACAGATACAATATTTGCATCAGGTACATTTAAACCCTTATGTGAGTTGTTACGAATTTCTAATGTATTTACAAGTGAAGAAAAACTATGAGGGCTTGACAAGGAAAAATAATATGACAATGTAAAAACTTCGCAAAGCCATAGAGAGGATATTTTTTAATGATGCCATCAGTTGCAAGGAGATCTCTGACTTGTTCATTGTAAATTTCGATCATCTGAACAGAGACTTCATAAGCTATTGTGTTTTTCCTTTGCTCTGAGATAAGAAATAGATCATCTAATGCCCTGTAATTGACACCTTGAGTTTCCTTTGTGACCTCATCCGGTCCAGACTATCAAGATAAAGAATAACTATTATTTTTGTACATTTTCATAAAATAACTAACATGTCATGCGTAAGGTATCTTACCATTGTGTATGTCTTTCCTGATCCAGTTTGACCATAAGCAAATATACAAACATTGTATCCATCAAGGACGGATCGAATGAGAGGTTGTGTGTCTGTAAATACTTGTTCTACAGATTTCAAAGACACGAAAACGAATCATTTCAATGATAAATTATGTTGAGTAATTTTGGGTAGGAAGAAATGTGACTAGGGACCTTTGCAACCTTGGGTTGCAGATGGACCAAAACAACGATTGAAAGTGAATGTTTTCTTTCCCTCCTTTCCATATTTTGAGGGAGTTATTATTGTAATGCTTCCCTCTTCCACGTGATCTAAAGTGCTAAAACGATTTTGTTGCCCAGGCAAGAATGGTCGCACTCGGCAATACACCCGTATACTTCCTATTCAATTTAAATGTTGTAAATATTCCGCATCATTAGAAATTTACATAACACAATGTTTCATATTAAAGTTAAACTTATTTCATACAAGTCACTACCTTTAAGATCTTGCACTTGATTGTACAACTTGCGATTTTCCTCCAAAATTTTCTGGTATCCAGAAGCTGCATGAGCTAGGCCTTGCAAATGTTTACCTAATAGGGAACACAAGTAAGGAATATGACTCCCATTGGTTACATCATGAATAGAGTGCATTTCTTTGTTTATTATTTACCTAGATTATTTACTTCATCATTATATTTGACTTGTATGCACTGTAACTCTTTTTTTGTATCATAAAGGGTACACTTCAGGTCCTGCATAGTGGACAATTTAGAGATTAGTATATACATGTACACAAGTACGTGTCTATGTTTGTATGTGTCTTTGTATATATACTTCGAAGATTACTTTTATGAATACTAAATATGACTCCTTGAGTTACACACATCTTTAAAAAATGCTACAACACTCTGCAAATAAACATATATGTGTCTGCACATATACAAACATGTGTGTATTGAGGGGATTATCGTTTTCCATGAAAATAGATCTTCACATGGGAAGAGTGCGCAATATATATGTTCGTGCACTAGCACATATGGGAAGTAATAAGTGCACTTTCATGAATGTTGAAGTTTAGTTTCACATATTTAATGCAAACATGCATATTTTTATTGAGATCAACATCCTCATTTGATCATGTGTGTGTGTATTTCATAGTAAAATAATCTACCTGTATATTTTGTTGTTGTTTGATTAACATGTGTTGCTTCTCATCACACCTTCTTGGTGTGATGTTATTTACTCCTCTGTGGTGAAATTGTTCTTCACCGAAAGGTGCTGGATTTGCTTTATCTTCATCCTAAAAAAGCAAAAAAAACATGTTTTGAAAGGTTAAAAACCATAATATGATGATGATGATGATGATAAGATACGACAACACCTTCTTAACTTTACGAAAAAAATCATTATAAAAATGGTTTACCATTATATTATTGGAAGGAGACTCATGGTTATTGCACGGTGGAGTTGATGTATATTGCGAAAATGAAATTGACATATCTTGAGACATTGAAAAAGGATATTTTTGGGGAATCTGTTTCCATTTATTACTTTGTGAAATTTTAAAGTTAAATAGTCTGAAGATCTTTATCCCTTCATAATATGCTAAGTTGCAAGAGAGGCTAACAACCTTCACCTTCTATGTAGTTGTAAGAACTCTATTGATTTAAGAGTTTCTTTTAGATATTATTAAATTAGAGGGTTGGTCACATGTTTTATATGTTCGATAGTGTGATACATGTCAAAAATAACTTTAGAATGTTTAAGGTCTTTAATGGCAAAATGGAAACAAGAATTCAATATTTTTTTAAATGAAAAACACTACCGTAGATGAAAAAAAAGATCTATACCTTTGAATCTATATATGAACATTCAACCGAAGAAGAAGACGTCAGAGAAATATCTTGAGTAGCAGTTTCCACCTGCTATATCTCGAAATGTTTAAAGACAATATGTCATAAGAACTTTAACTTTTCATTAGAACCGCTATTGATACTCAATATAACCTAAGAACACTGAGTGCATATGCACCTCAAAAAATAAAAGAAGAAAAAACGAGGAAGCTTAATAGTACTAACTCGAGAAATGCTCATTAAACTCTACCTCTTCATTATGTCTTGATAAACGATGCTCAAATTCTTCCATTATTTTACCTAACAAGTTCCCCACAATCTGTCCAAAAGTAAAGTACATGTCTCACAAAACATATACACTATCATTTCCATTGATTAAGGGGTGATCAATCCCGTAGTATGACCGTGAAAGAAGCAGTCTATGATCCTCAATGTTGTCAATTCTCACATCCCCATACGAGAATAATTAATAACAAGTTTAAAGAATGCATACAAGTGGTATATCTTCTGGTTTCTTATCAGCTAGAACTTTGTTGACTAGTATTTGTAAGGACCCCAATTGCTCCTGCATGTTCCACATTGGATGGATTTGTATATAAACTTATGATGTATGGGAAAAATTTAAACCAAAATAATAAGATAAACTAACCGTCTCAGGATGGTCGCACTCAAGGTTAACATTGTTGAGAGCCTTTTCAATGACTGATGAGCTATGTGAAATTGAATTCATGAAGGGTTGAGAGTTCTTCAGAAGAAATTGCTTTCCACATGATGTAGGTTTCAAATTCCCACTTAGTTTCCAAGAGCCAATGCCACCTTGTTTCCACTCCCAATATGATTTCAGTGCTAGTACGCAATTAACAACTCTATATGGCTTTCCACCCTAATTCAAGTGGAACATTACTATTACATATTAAGAGCCATGGTGAATCATATTATTTAAAAAGATAATGGGTAATAAATACAATAGAAGAAAACGTTATATCCCGCATTAGAAGGCCTCAATACCTAGACTAACAAAGTTCCTGATTGTATCTATATCTAATTAATTTAATTTCGTATTATATGGTTGGGTTATTAAATCATGAGTGGGGTTTGGGCATGACAAAGGCATCGGTAATAACTTACATGCGCGAGATCAGAAGCTTGAAATGTTGGAAGCCCCATTTCTTCCATAGCCACGAGGAAGTTTCTTACATTTTCGAAGTATTGGTATGCAGAAAGGGCTGCCCCATCAGAGTTGCTGGCAGAATCTAGTGGTGCTTCAACGACCTAAAGGATAAACATTATGTTCAAATACATATTAATATAAGATAATATATATATATATACACATATATATAAATATATAAAAAGAATAAGAAAACATTACTTTCTGCACAGAGCCGGGTTGTACTTTATTAAGAGCATTGCAAAGTATAATGCCACTTCGCAGCCCATTTCTGAACTCTTCTTCTGAAGGTTCAGCCGGTAAATCTTTACTAGCCACAACTCCTACAATCTTTCTTAACCACCTACCAGCTTCATTTCTTCTCAATGCTGCACCACATCATTCAATTCATACATCTCATTCATCCAAATAAACATTTAAACCATTGAGGTTTGTAATGATTCCACAAACAATTGACATCACCACAAGTACATTAGTGAATATATTGTGTGATTCCACATATCATATTAAGACTTAGGGTTTCACAAACACGATACTAGGAATTATTGATCTTATATCCAAGTTTAATAGTTTAATAGGATTTCATCAGTACCATTGGTGTTGATCACTGTTCTAAAAATCGGCCTAGTCGGCCCTAACTGTAAAGGCCTAGTCGGTCAAAAAATCGGCCTAGTCAGCCAAAGAATCGGTCTAGTAGGCCGCCTGGGCGCTAAGCGCCCCTCAACCGCCCGACTAGTGCCTAACGAGTTTTAGAACAATGGCGTTGATTCATCATTATGATAATCATTGTTACTATAATTTTTCCCATGAAGCTCACAATTTGACAATGAATCAAGTTAGTTTACAAATTGACATTGAGCTTCCATCTTGAATGGTTCGGGAGGGAGTACCTTATGATCTTCAGATCTTGTCTATTAGGTTAACAATTATACATTACCGGTGTAATACAATATCTTCATCACACAAACAATAATCCTTTCAACAATATATAACACTTCAATGATAATTATGATATGGCGAATGATATTTAATTATGTTCTTGACCTACAAGTTGAAGAATTTAGCAGGCATGATTCATCATATTCCGAGATGCTAAGCCATTATTGTAACCATGAATACAAATGAAAATTAAAATATGGATGAGTAAGAACAGTCTTAGGAAAAGTAAACTTTATCGAAAGAATGATCATACAAGCTTCTTCAGCTTTTCTGGCGGCATACAAATCAACATTGCTCAAATTTTCCCCGTACTGTTCAATTACATCCTCAACCACGGAAGTCGCCAATAACGGATTGTCCTCCGGTGACATTGCACGAGAAATGTACAAGAGCCACCAAGAAAGTTAAAAATCAAGAACTTCTTCGCCAACGCCAAATTTCTAAACTTATAACAACACAAATTCATGCACGGAGAAACGCAAAGCGTTTGTATATATCTATATATCCATAATAATCTATATACGAAACTATATATCCATAATAATCTATATACGAAAGCATATATAGGGGAACAATATGGTTTCTTTGCAGGAACGGATGAGGAGGGTGAAGTATTAATGGAGAAAATTTTAGGAGGAAGATGACACCAACAATTTGGTTTTCTAGTAATTATCTTAGCTAGCAATGTTTTTTCTTTATTCAGGCTCTCTTGATCGCTTCCACCATGGAGATCATGCTCTACTTTTGCTTCTTTGCTTGCCAAAGAGTTTTCCTAGCCGAAAGGATCGGGCATCTGCTCATTTTTCATTTTGTTTTTCTTTTTCTTTTTCAAATAATAGAGAGAAATAATAAATGAATAATTTACATACACAAAAATACATATTTCCTTCATTCTTTTTTAGTTGCAACATTGCCATTTTCACACTTGCTAACACACAACTTTGACTATCATTATATTTACTTCTGTATTAGTAAAAAGTTAAACATTAAAAATAGATTCTGAAAATTTATAATGAAACGAATTCAATAATATTTAAAAATAATAATTCTCATACATTAATACATAAAATGTAGTCAAAATAGAGCATATGAATAGTGTAACATTATCAATGTTGCAACTAAAAAGAAGTGAAGGATAGTACTACCTCCGTCCGGAAAAGGTTTGCGATATTATATTTGTCTTGGTCAGTGTTGGTTAACTTTGGACAATGATTTTTCTTATTATATTTGTATATAACTTATATATTTGATACTATTATGAAAGTATTTTGAATAAGGAACATTTTGATACAAATTTCATATCCAAAATAATCTCATATTAAAAAATATTGTCGGTCAAAATTGATTGTCATTGACCAAGAAAAGTCAATTTGATGAACCTTTTTGGGACGAGGGAGTACATCATTATTAGTAACAAAATACACGGAGAAGTGGAGAACTATGGTACAAGTATATATTTTTTATAACAAAATTACTAAACAATAAAGTATAGTATCCTAACTGTCAATTAATAGACTACAAGTCTTACTCAATTGTCTTTAATTCTAAAATCTAAATAAATTAGAAGCTAATTACATATATATAATATAGTATGGACGTATGGTAGATTGAAAATAAAAGTTAATGTTTTAGTCAAACACATAGAATATACTCTTTTATTTGTCCTAATATAATGATAGTGTATAGTTTAGATCAATGATCAAAATATTTCTTGTATTTATTGGTCAAATATATAGTTATAGAATATACTTTCTATCTAATTATTAAATAATCTTCCTATTCGAGCTAGGAGGGCCTACTATTCTGATCTGTTTGGCATCCCTGCTCTTAGATTATAGCGTTTCTCACTGTGTTAATTTCATGTTTCATCTGTGTAATTGATGTTGGTTTGTACTCGCTTATTTTCAATAAAATAATGGCAGTTGTCCCCCGGCAACTGTCCCACTGATTTTGGTGGTTTGCCTTCCGGGGTAAAAAAAATATCTAATTATTAAATAATAAAAATAGCTACAATATATACAAAAGATTTTTCCATATATTTTTTTCACAAATAGAAACTAAACTTTAATTTGCATGGTCTCCTTTTCCATTCTACATAACACACAGTATCTATTGATTTATATAGTAAAACTGAGTTATAAAATGCACATGTGTCATTCATTGATTGGATAACAAATACAATTATAACATTAATTTAATAACAATAGCCGATTAGGAGAAAAAATAGTAAACACAATTGGACTAGGTCTCTTCTGCTTACACTACGTATTAATTAATAATTCAATGTTTATGATAAATGTTATCTAAAGCTGAATGTAACATTTCCATCTATAAATAGTATACTATACTTTGCAGCTCTTTGATATATACTCATTATTTATACGTATTACTTTTGAAAATCAACCAAACATTTATGAACTCTATATATGCAAATGATGAAACATATAAAATTCATATAGAACATGAACAAATTACAAATTAAATCTAAATGTGCATAACCTTAATACAAACATAGAATTGCAATACGTTTGATTAATTGGTGCGAACATCCTAAGGTTAAAGTTTATTTTTAATTTAACTATTAATTAAAATGGATAAATTTAAGCATTTAGGATGTTTACTTGGACTGACATTTTCTGGTCTCATCTGGTCAGAACTGGTCAGAAATGGTCTGGTAAATGATTGATTTCTTTGTATTTTATATCCGCCCAGGTTTGATCTGGTCTGATCTGATCTGGTTTGGTCTGGGAGTGAAAACAGTCCAAAAACATTAAAAACATCATTAATACTCAAAATTTTAATTTACTTGGATTTGATTCATATAAAAAAGATCCATATCTTATTCATAATTTAATTATTATTTCCCAAAATAAAAACAAAATAGACTACCCCTAAAGATTTTTATGAAACTTGCTATTTCGTAATTAAGTTGAGCAACTAACACCTTGAAAGAAGAGTGAAAGATAATTTTTCTTTCATATAACACCAATATTGCATAGATAAAAATAAAAAAGTAATTTTTATATATTTATAACTAAATTATAAATCAATGATGTATTAGTCAGTGCATAAAAATATATAATATAAATTTTATATTAATAAAAATTCTATTATCACTACTGCTAAAACATTTAATTAATCCAAGTTCACTTGGTGCATCACAACTACTAAGAGCCTGTTTGGTAACACTGAAATTGGCTCAGTCGGCTAATTCTACTGAAATTTATTAAGTTTTAGAAGAAGCGGTTGATTGGTTGAATTGGTTGATTCTGCTGAGTTATGAAAAAATTATATTTAAAATATATATATTTATTAATAAAATAAAAGGTAAAATTATATAAAAAATAGCTAAAATAGCCCTGGAGAATAACTTCAGAAAAGTAGTTCCAACTTTACTTATTTTAATTATTACACAACTCAACGCGCAAATTCAAAAGTTACGTGCTCGATGAAAAAGTTTGATGGTAATAAGATGGATAAGCCGAAAGCAAGATCACCAAACAGACTCTAAAACATCTATTGTTTTATTAAAAAAAATTAGCCTGGTTTGAATTGGATTGATTAACTGGATCAGATTAAAATATCATGTCATTTTTCACAGAGATTTTGAAGTGCCGAATATATAGCATTGTAGCATTGTGTGGTCTATTCAAATATCATGTCATTGAAAACATGTTATTGTCCATCAGGTAATTGAAATGGTTAGTACGAATCAACGCTGCTATTGTAGCATTGTGTTGTCGATTCAAATATCATGTCATTTTTCACAGAGATTTTGAAGTGCCGAATATATAGCATTGTAGCATTGTGTGGTCTATTCAAATATCATGTCATTGAAAACATGTTATTGTCCATCAGGTAATTGAGATACAAGTTCAAAGCAGTTCACAAAATTTAGTATAAATATGTCCATTTTAAGTAGTGAATCACCCAGACCATCACACTACATATCCATGGAAAGGAAAGTGGGAGTAGTATGGATCTTGGAAGTTTGATCATAACAGGGAGGCCTCAGAGGTAGTTTGGCATGACAAAGAGGTATAGTATGTGCTCCTTTATACCTTTTTAAAGATAAAAGCAAACAAGTTCAATGTTAGCATGTGATTTCATGCTACAATCAAGAGGCCACAACTAGGAATGTAAAAACCAAAAATAAAAGAACATGAATGGAAGCTTATGTTGTCCGAAATTTTTCAGTACTTGACAACTAGCAGATGGTGAAAACACAAATGATCCCTGTATAAGTGAGGTTGTGAGGAAATAGAAAAAAATAATCACCGGCACAAAACATATCACAATTAAATGTAGTAGACATAGAAGTCATAGTTTGGCAAAGTCATAGTTTGAGTTTATAAAGAGTATATGAGCATATAATTTTAAAAAGGTTCAAAAATATCCTTAGCAAATATATGATTACGTAATGGTTGAAGTATATAATTATGATACTATTTTTTAAACTTATATTAACAAATATAAGGTGTATTATATGTACAAGTGTAAGTGTATAAATGTATGAGGTTTTTACTTGGATATTACTAATTTTGAACCAAGTACCCAAAAAGTGACCACTTTTAAAAAGAGACAAAAAAATGATCAAGAAGGTCATATATGTGCAATTAGAAAACATGATGTAACTGCAAAAATTTTATGTCACTGCTTGTTTAATATAGTATATAATATAGTTACGTAATTTCATTCGCCATCTTCATAACAAATCAAATCAACATTCTTATCTCAAATAGTATATAATATAGTTACGTAATTCACTCAAATAAATAGAAATTTAAAATTTGTCGAACATATACAATATATGCTTTATAAGGTAAAATTTCTCTAATATCTTTAAATAGTATAGCCCAGGCCCCCAACAGAGGTAGATGCTCGTTTTTTTTGTAATTTCATTGTGATTACGATTATTGCTAATGCAAATTTTAACAGAGTTCAAGAAGAAAATACCAAACTGTATTGCTATGTTTACTTAAGCTACCCGTTATGATTATTAGTGATATTGATAAAGTTGTGACTATCCTAAAAAGTTTAAATGTGTTTGAATTTCACACGATCAAAATGTGGTCCAAGGGTTAATGCTCGTTTAAAAAATGCGGTTTTTTATTTTATAAATGTCTTATTGTAATATGTATGTGTTATCCTTATGTTAATTCTAATAATTAGACTAACACAAACAATGGTTGTATTTAATAAATCTTTGAAAATTCATACTATCAACGCAACTCATAACAACGTCTAAGATTTCTAGGCAGGTAGTTCGGCAGCCCCTTTGGTAGCCCAAGATTCTTCTACTGTTAGTTTGGAAGCCTCTTTTGAGGCTAATGCTTATGATGTTAGTTTGGCAGCGCCTTTGGATGCCTCTGATGCAACTGTTGTTGATGATGCTCATGCTATTGCGCTTAGTTCAGCGGCCTTTGTAGCCCCTTATGAAAGTGGTAAATCTGCTATGGAAGCCCTTGTTGACACAACAGTAATTGCTGTTGTACCTCAGTTTGATGCTCCTGCGGATTTTGAGCCAAAGGATGCACATGTTCCCAAAACTGTTGTTGCCCAGGTTCAGTTAGCAGTCACTGCCCCTAATGATATTACAGTCCCTGCACCTAATGATATTACAGTCCCTGTTGATGCCTTGGTATGCACTGTGGGTAATCAATCACTAGTTCCCAACCAAACTATTGATACAA